CTTGAAGAGTTAAATCAAGTCTCTAACCCTAAGTTTATGAGTTTTGTGGTGATTGGAAATTTTTGGTAAGGGTTTAGATGAACCCCAGGTATGATTTGAAGATTTTGAGACAATGTTGGATATTGGTTAGTGATTTTGGTGTGTAGAGATGTTTAATAGGATGGTTAAAGTGTTTGGGAATGGTTGATGTTGTCAGAAAAGGAATTTAGGTATTTTAGACACTTAGAACCTAGTGAATTCAGAGTTATTCAAAGTGATAATTAATGATTATCACCTGATTATGCAGATTGAGCGTTGCTCGAGCTACATCGTGTATATAAAATGTCTAGAGCTAACCTTGAGCCACGACAACCCTTTTGTGTGACAAAAGGTTGAGGTAACCATATAGTTTATTATGTTTATTAACTATTATAACTGTGTAGAAGTAAATATAAAGTGATGAATTTGTTGTTTAAGAATTTTATGCATGATTTGATATTGAAAAATAATTTTAGCATGAATATTGGTTTGTGAAATGAATTTGAAAAAAGTCATTGATTCCAATAGATATGTATATATATATGATATGAAAGTAAATATGGTGGAAATGTGGATAATCAGTGATAAGTGTGAAAAAGCATGATCATAGGGGGTGGGAGTTCACTTGAGACATGTAGGAATATATGTGTGTGGAGATATGTGAGTAAAAAATCCATATGATCGGGCTGGCATTATGAGACATCTAGTGCAGCATTATATGAGACTATTACCATGGGATATTTGGGCAATCTAGCAACTCCTTAGTACCCGTTAGGGTGTAGTTAGGAGTCAATGACGCCTTTATCACAAGTGCGTGAAGAGGGAAAAAAAACCATAGTCTGTAGGTAGGTTAGATTACCTTTGGCCAGGTGTTTCTACCGTTGAAAGTGTGCTAGGATCAATAAGTGATTGATCCAAGAGAGCCTATGGTTTTATGTCGGGGAGTATTAGAGGTTTGGTGGTTAAATAATCATACTAGTGTGAAATTATGTGGAATCATTGTGAAAAGATGCACTTATCTCATAAATATGGTTTACTTGATATTACCTTAGTTTTGATACTTTATCATAGTTATCTGTGATAATAAGCATTGGATGAACTATATTAGTTACTGAGATGAGATACATCTCATGGTTATATTTTATAGGTAAGGGCTCCAATAAGGGAAAGGGAAAAGAAGGAGCGTTTGAAGAGTAAAGAGCATAGTTGTGTAGCTCTTCCCTTTCTTCTTTTTAGGTTTTGTAACAAATATTATCAATATTTAATACCAACTTAGGAACATGACATTATTTTGGATATCACATGTATAGATTTGTTATAAGTATGCGTATCTTGATCCAAGGATAATGTGGTGGATTTTTTGTGCGTGTTGGGCCAAGTTACAATTACAAGTGATGAATTTGAAGTGAATTATGTGCCTAAAATGACTAAGTTAATGTGCATACTAAACACGATCCACCCTTTTGTGTTATTGTCAAATGGGGGTTTGGTGATCATTTTGAGTGATTGCTTATTTATGTGATATGAATGAATTGTCATGTTGTGTGTGGTCCATTTAAGGTGGTCAAAATGTCTTTAGGGCTAATGGCATTTGGTATTGTGAGTTAGACACCTTTGTGTGTGTTTTAAGGTGAAAACCAACCATTTCGGCTTTGAGTGTCCATCTTTTAAACAAATGGTTATTTGAGTATGAGACTGGTGTTGTTAGTTAGAGGGATCAAAGAGCTTCATGTGGACACTTGAACTGCTCAAATCGAACATTGGATGGCAAAACGGCGCGCTCTGAAAGTTTGGAGGTTTATTTGCTGTCATGATAATAGGTGCGCGCCACAGCGCATGATTATTGCATTGTGTCGCGATGTGAGTGGTCTTCGAGGGATTTATCCATGTGTGCCATCCACCACGGCGAGTATGACTTGTACCGTGACGGACGAACCAAATAATTGCAAAATGGCTTGTTTTAGCCTATTTTGAAATGATTTAATTTTCATGCTTCCGTATTTATTCTAAATTGATTTTTAACCATGGTATGAGCTCAAACAATATTTTAAAAAGGGTTTTCTTAGGATCTCAATATTTTAAACTAATTATCTTTTAAACCTCTAAGTTGTGATAACTTCTTTTTGAGATTTTATTTAATCCTAGTTATCACAATGGTGTGTATGAGTATTATCTTGTAATGTCAAGGCATACATTACAACATCAATACTTGATGTGAGAGTTTTGCATGTGTATTTTCTTATCTATTCATATTGTGTGAGAATTTTAGAATCTCTATAGCTAACTAGCCGATTAGCATGCTGTGTATGGCAATAGGCTACCACAGGCTTACCAATCTCTACATGAAATTGAAAAATAATTTCTATGCCGTGTGAAATTTTGAAATTTCTGCAAATATAAAATAAATTAATTTATGTGTGTGATTTTTAAAATCTCCCTAGAAACTTCAATCTAAATTTTTCATTAAAAAAAATCCTTTCTTAAATAAAGAAATAAGTCTCTTTTTATAAATTAAAAGATAAAAATCCAATTAAAAGCCTATTTTTAAAAAATAAAAAAATTTCTAAAAAATGCTAACAAACTGATACACATTTTTACTCTCAAACTACTTGAGCTTTGATCCTTTAAAAGAATACATAGACCCTAGAGTTTTATCCTAGATCAAGTCCAACTTGTAAATAAATAATATTTTTAATTTAATTTTTCTTATTCTTTTCTTTTTATTGTTCTTATTTATTAAGGGTAATCTAATTTCATTTAAAGCCATATTAATTTTATTTAGTCAACTTAGAGTAACCGTTCTCATAAATGGATGATGTGCGATGCCAAACACATTCTCTACGCATAATTAACTCCCAAATCAAATTCTAGTTATTTTAGACCATTTTGTGTTTTAAAAGGTTTTTAAAATTATCCTTTTTAATTTTGGTGGTGATCCTACATTTATAGATTTCCTTTCCGAGGAAATCACAGTCCAGGCATGACAACAGATACATTCTTTATAGAGTTAAATGTCATTGTTGTTCTTAAATAATTTTTTAAGGATCACTGGATATCCTATACTATATGTGAAGTGGTGCAAAATTATCCATAAACTACAAAAGTGTAACATTTTAAACCTTCTGTCCATTTTGAGCAAGCTGCGTTTATTGACCAAGTGTTCGATAGAAAGGAAGCGACCTGGGCTGCCATCTGTGGTTAAAATATTTGTCCTCCATCTTGGTTGGGTCCTTCTTTGAGAAAGCACCACCGCCGTGGGCACCCCATCCACCATAGGTGTCAATGATGATCTTGCGAATGAACTTCATTTTCTTTGGAAGCTCAACTTGCTTGAAATGCATTTCCACGATTGCTTTGTCCATTGCCATCAGTCTTCTTTTTCTTCCAGTCTTTACGTTGTGTCGTTTGGCTTTATTATTCATGCCGCAAAAGGTGATGCAAGCTTTCGCAGGCAGTAACCATGTTCAGATTTCCCTTTGTTGACGTCCAAAATATTTCTCTCACCAGAAAGTCGTATCCATGAGCTATTAAAAAGGAACCACCCACAGTGAAGTTTTGTGAAGTTGCATTCAGGTTTTTGGTGATTTTTGTCTTTGGCGCAACACTGGTTTAGGAACAAGAAGGCAGTTGAAGATTAAGATGATTCATCAATTATTAAAAGAAATAATATTATAACATAAATAAATTCTTGCATTGACTCAGTGTATCACATCTATGCTCTTTCCAATAAAAATATCCCATAATGTATGTTCTTAAATATAAATTCTAACATTAATGATGATAAGAAGAGAAAAGACAAAAAATTAAAGAGGCACTCTATTTCAAAAATAAAGTCACTACAAATAATGACACATTACATTTTATTTGATTAAATTGATGTAACATAGTATGTTTTTATTGAACATAATATGGATGATACTGTGCACTGGGTCTATGCAAGATTTTCTCATACAGATATAAAGTGGGCCCGCATTGAATTAATATAAGGATAAATTGGCTCACTAGCAAAAAAATAATTGTGCCTAAAAAATAAGGATTAAATTTTTGAAATTGTGGAAATGTGGCTAGTTTACATTGATATATAAGAGATTTATTATTGATATGCAAGGAATTTATTATTGATATACAAGAAATTTATTATTAAAAATTTAATATTTTGCAAAAGGTTTATCTTATATCATTGACAAATTTATATATCTATAAAATAAAAACCTCATAAGCTACAGTTTCTAAACAGCTCATCTCAAATTCTCCCTACTTTTATTGTTCATGTGAACATTGACGACTCATTTTATATCTTCCAGCTTGACATTGGACTTGTTGCCTTTCATAGAGCAACTTGGACTAAGCATTGAGCTCCGTAAAAAATTATGGTCAAATGCTTTGGTTTAATTATTTCTCTGTGCTCTCCTCAAGGTTTTTAAATTTCAAAATTTAAAATGCTTTGATTTTCTCACTTTCTCTCGCCTGATCTCTCAAATTCTGAAATTCAATATCTTTTTTTTTTTCCCTCTTTCTCTCATGACTCATCCCTTTTTTTCTTCTTTCCTTTTTTTCCCCTTTTCTTTTTTCTCTCTCTCATGTGTCCTCTCACCTTTCTTTCTTCCTTGCCTTTCTCTCTTTAGGACTGTACAAAAATCTCATAATCTGATCCGATCTGATCTGGCCCGTGAAAACCCGATCTTATCTAGCCTTATAAAATGTTAGTCTTATTGGACTAAAAAGACCAAAAAAATAAGACTGGTTTTCAGGTAAAACCAACTAGAGATCAAGCATATGGACTAACTGATCCGATTTGGTCCTATATAATTAATTTAATATAATTAAAATTAATTTATAAACCATCAATTAATAAGTTAGTCTTACATCTGGCCAAAGTTAGTCTTACTGTCTCAAGCAAAAAAGTCAATCTTACACAGTACTAGCACACTGCATGATGCACGCCACGCACTCAAGGCTCAAGCAAGCTACAGGCGCTCATTCTCACTTCTTAGTTTCTCTTTCTCCAGTGCACTGAGCCCTAGCCCTTTCCTCTTCCAGTTCACAGCCATCAATCACGTTGGTGAGCTCTGATTCATTGCTCTCCATTTGCGTCGGTGACCTCTAGGCCTTAGTCCCTTGCTCTCCGGTCTCCATCACCCCTAACCTTTGATTCATTGCTCTTCAGTCTCCATTCTCGCTCGAGCCATTATCCTGCTGTCAATCACGTCGGTGAGCTCTGGTTCATTGCTGCTCCGCCAGTGCGCCATCACCATCAGTCGCATTTATCGTCGCCTCTCGCATCTGATTCATCATCGAGCACGTCACATCATCGCCCCACCCCTGGTTTGCATCACCCCTACCCTCTAATTCACCGCCATTCTTGTACCTTTGAGCACACAGTCGCCACTCGCCTGCTCTCATGTTCTTAGAAGTTTCTTGCAAAGGTATGTCCTGTTACCTATCGCCCCACCCCTATTCGTTTTACACTTGTAGCTTTACAGTTCAAAAGTCAACTCAAAATGAAATTTCTTAAAATTAAGCATTAGAGAAAATGTGACCAAAAATAAAGGTTTCAGTTGAAAAGTAACTGTAAAAGTTTCCCATGACTCTACTTGATTACTCTGCACGATTGAAGTGGATGTGGATGTGTTTTTTTCCCCTTGACTCTGCTTGATCACTCTGAACGATCCTTAATATGGATTGAAATTCATTACACAATTTTCCCCATGTCTGTGTTGATCTGTTCGAAGGACATTTCTGTGGGCTGATTTTTATTAGTAATCACCTTATCAATTATATGCTCTCATTTTCTAGCTTTTGTGTTCCCTGCCATGATTTTGTGCTATTATAACTCATCTATTTTGCTTCCTTTTTATCACTGTGATGTTATAACTAGTCAATTATATGCTCTGAATTATATTTTATTATTGTGAAGTGATGGATATTGACCAAACATCCAGTATTGACCAACCTCAATCATCTCCTTTTATTGGTGAAAATATGAGTTCAACTCCTTCTGGACCATCTTTGACACCTACTCCTCCTCCTTAACCCCCAACTGTTATGGAATGTCCTCCTTCTCTTACAATTGTAACTGAAAATGAAGCTACAGAAGGTAGTAGAAAGAGGAAAAATTCTGTAAGAAAGGTATCAAAAGTGTGGGAACACTTTACTAAGTTACCATTGGAAGAGACAAATGGAAAAGTTAGAGCTGCATACAAGTACTATGGAATATCCTCCTCCTCTTACAATTATAACTGAAAATGAAGCTACAGAAGGTAGTAGAAAGAGGAAAAATTCTGTAAGAAAGGTATCAAAAGTGTGGGAACACTTTACTAAGTTACCATTGGAAGAGACAAATGGAAAAGTTAGAGCTGCATACAAGTATTGTAATTTAGATTATGCTTGTGACCCAAGCAAGCATTGTTTAACATCCTTGAAGAGGCATGTACCAAAGTATCCCAAAAATCCACATAAAGCTACACAAATGACAAAGCAATCTATATTGAATTATGTGACACCAAGTGGGCAAGAGGTAAGCTTAGTACCTCACATGTTCAATCAGAAACGATGTTGCAGGGCTCTAGTTGAGCTCATTATATGTGATGAAATGTCATTTAGGCTTGTTGAGAAGGAAGGCTTTAAAAAGTTTTTGAATGAGTTAGAACCACAATTTCAAATCCCTTTAAGAACAACAGTGGCTAGAGATGCTTGGCAATTGTATCTTGGTGAAATTAGAATCCTGAAAAATTTGTGAAGAAGTGTACTAATCATCTTTGCCTCACTACAGATTACTAGACATCTGTTCAAAACTTCAATTACTTATGTTTGAAGGCCCATTTCATTGATAATGATTGGCACTTGCATAAGAGGATTCTCAATTTTGCATGGTTGAGAATTATAAGGGTGATATGATAGGCACAATAATTGAAAGGTGCTTATCAGATTAGGACATACAAAATGTGTTTACCATAACCATAGATAATGCAACTTCTAATGATACAGCCTTGTCTTACTTAAAAAGGCGTCTAAAGAATTGGAGAGGTCTTGTTTGTGGTGGTGATTATCTTCAACTATGATGTTTTGCATATATTCTTAATCTAGTTGTTAATGACGATTTAAAGGAGTTGAAAGACACTTTTGAGTCCATTCAAAATGCTATTAGATATGTTCGTTCATCTCCTTCTTGCTTGCAAATATTTAAAGATGTTTGTGAATTGAAAATGTTGGACACAAAAAGTATTGTTTGCCTCGATGTTAGTACTAGATAGAATTCCACATATTTAATGTTGCATGTGGCTTTGAAGTTTCAAAAGGCATTTGAAAGATTAGAGGATGAGGATGAAGATTTTGTTAGCTACTTCAACAAAGGTTCAAAGCGTCATGCTCAGAGTGACTTTTCTTGCTTAAATGGTAGCATGGATGCCTATGTTTATAGGCAAGGTGCTAGACCCGATGACAATATGGATGCTTTTGCTTACTCTAGGCAGGCTCCTCCTAGGCGTAATGGCCCTCCAAACAAACAAGTTTGGAATAAAGCACGATTCTTTCTTAAGTTCTTGAAGGTGTTTTATGATGTCACTTTACAATTTTCTAACACACTAAAAGTTACTGCACATACATGCTTCTATCAAATTTCTTTAATTCAAGAGTTGTTAGATGAGAATATTGAAAGTGATCACCCTCTTCTTAGGGAAATGTCTTTGAGCATGAAGAGTAAGTATGATAAGTATTAGGGGGCAGCAAATAATTTAAACCCTTTGTTGATTATTGCTGTGATTCTTGATCCTTAATACAAGCTTGCCTATATCAATCATGTATTTGATCAACTTTTTCCTAACCCTGACCTTTGCATGTCCATGAAGAACAAGGCAAGAGACACTTTGTATCGCTTATTTGAGGAATACTCTGCAGTAGTTGGTCCTGATACAAGTAGTTCTGGTAGTACCAACTCTCTAAACGCTCTTGACGCCAACACTTCAAATGCAAGTAAAGGTAAAAAACACCCTGGTCGAAGATAGTTAGCATCCCAAAAGCAAAAAAGCTCATTAATTGTTACCCAATCAGAGTTGGATAAATACCTTTCTGCTAGTACATCTGAGGACACCCCTATTGATGATGATGATGATGATTTTGATATCTTGACATGGTGGAAGTTAATTCCACCAAGTACAGAGTGCTTTCCTTGATAGCACGAGATGCATTGGCTATACCAGTATCTACAGTTACTTCTAAATCAGCTTTTAGCACTGGAGGACATGTTGTTGATGATTGTAGAAGTTTTTTATCTCCTAAGATGACTGAAGCATTCATTTATACCCAAAATCGGCTAGTTGTAGGGCAATCTCTCTCAGAGTTTGTCTCTATGTTTCATGAGATTAACAATTTTCAAGAGATTGGCGATGTGGTTAATGTTGCAAGTAATATATTTAATTTTACATCTCTTAATTTAATTTTATATTGAATTTTTATACTTACTAATCACTTTATATATGTGTATATAATTTATTTTTGATAAATGCTTCAAGTGTTATTGACGCTAAGGAGATAATTATTTGAAGATTTGTTGAGTCTATTTCTGTTGAAGTTAAGGAAATAATTACATGACAGATATAATGTAGTGTTGAACTTTGTTGAGTGTTTTTGTTAAAGTTATATATTTAAATCATTTGGAGTTTGGACTGTAATTGAAATATTTTTTTCTTAATGTTAGAAATCATTATGGATTTATTATGATTATAAGTGTTTTTTATTATCTTAATTGGTTTATTAGGTTGAAATGAATTATTGCTTATCATAGAGAAAAAAAATAAAAAAAAAGGTTGACTGAGTACTGGACTAAAAGGACCAGTCTTCCAATCCTATGGACCAAGCTCAGTCCTGTTAATCTTCGAGTTAACACAGGATCAGACCAGACTACGGGTTGCCTAACCCAATCCTTTTCATGAAAAAAACCAGGCTCTGGGTTAGACTGAAGTCCAATCTCGTCCAATCCTTTGTGCAGCCCTACTCTCTCCCATGTCCCCTCCCTCTTCTTATTTTTTTTTTTTCCATTTTCTTTTCTATTCTTCGGCTCCCATCCCCTCTCATTCTTTCCTTTCTTTCTTTTATCTTCTTCATCCGATCTTTCCTCTCATTCTTCGTTGGTTTCTTTCTTAGCTTCGCTTCTCCCATTAGTTTATATCAATGGCCTCATTTTTTACTGTATCAACCCTGCTCATCTGGTAGTCGTGCGGCCGCTGTCTCTTTTCTTCGTGTCCGTCGGCTATCTTTTAGTGAGTAGATGGAGCTTCTGGTGAGTAGATGCCCTCCATTATTTCCTTAATCCAAAAGGACAAATGAAGTTTTTTATGCTACCTTTGATACACAAATCAACCAAAAGAGTTCAGCATCCCAAGTTTTGAGCCTGTGTTTTTCGGAGTGTATGGAGTGTCGTCAAATCTGGTCATTTGCTTGGAGTGTCATCAAATTTGCTCGTGTTGCTCTCCATTTCTTGCTTCACTATTCCTTACTTCTCTCATAAGATTAAGGAGAAGACGTCTTCATTGTTGAACAACTTCGAGTGACTCCACATCTACTCTAAGTGGTGTTGGCTTCTAGGTTCTTCGACTTTATGAGATCACTTTACATTATCACTTATGCATTTTTGTTATTTCTTTTAAAAATTTAAATTTTGTTTTTGGATTTCAGATTATCTTGTTTTTTTGTGATTGGTCACCATGACGGAGAAATATCGTCTTTGGCAATTATCTCATCACAGGGTTCGACTTCATTTTGCATAGTTTATCTCAATATTTGTATTCATATTAAGTTCTCTATTTTTCAATTTTCATTTCTGCACTATTGCTTGAATTAAGGTAACCCCTAGAGTTTTTTTATGTTTAGAATGATAGAAACTTTACCTTGAAATCATGCTTCCTTGGATGTACTGTGAACTTCTCTGAAAAGCCATTCATCTTTGTTCTACTATTTCTAGATTCTAGACTTCAATGGAGACCAAGGACCCTCAGCTTTGTTCTTCTTGCTTTTTATTTTATTTTATTCTTTTGGTGTGCTTCTCCTTCCATATGCTCTGTTTAAGAATTATTAATGATTTTGAGGGTAATTGCTATTTGGGATTTACATTCAATTCAATTCTTTTATTTTACAATAGAATGGCAGAGGTTTTTGTTTGCACTTATTTTTGCTTGATTTAGGTTCAGTCTTAGATTAATTGCCAAATTTCAGCAACGACCCTTTTTGCATTCCTTATGAGTAAGATTATTTATATGTGCAAATGCTATCCTACATGCTAACCAAAGATTAACTTGTGTCCTTGATACATGATTAATAATACTTTCTCGGGTGAATGGCTGTGTTGTGATAGAAGTATTAGGAGAGGATTAAATATTTCTTTCTTCTTTAAACTTTGATCGTCTAAAATCAAAACAAAAGGAGGTGGATGAGGGTGCATATCAAAACGGAAGGAGGTGTATAGCTAGGTCAAAGCTTCTTATCTATTATGGTGATGTTAGAGGCTTTGTAAGGTTTGCCATATCAGGACCACTTTCAACTGCAATTATTTGAAGGAGCTAAGGGTTTGTGATTTGAAAATTTTCTTTGGAGTGATGTTAACTGTGAAGGATTTGCTTCTTCTTGAGATACTTTCTTAGCATGTTATTTCCTTTCCTTTGTAATTATTATATGTTTTGTTTCTACTCGTCGCTTTTGAGAATAATCCTTATTAAAACATGTTGTGGATCCCTTATCTTCTTGCTTTGATATTTTGCATATGAAATATTAAATTGGTTATTCTGTAGTAAATATCCAACCCGACGATAGGCCAGAGCTTTGTAGTAACTGTGCTGGTGATGTGCATAAAAGTGAACTCTACACTATATATATTTTTAGGGAAAATTTCAGTTAGGGACTCTTGACCGAACTTAATCAAAAAGAGGACCCCGGAATTTCTAGAACTTAAATCAAGGACCTGTATGGAATTTCTCTTGAATTTGTGATAGAAATGATAAAATTGCCCTCATTTAAATGAACAATATAAACAATTTGTTTGTTTCCATACTGTATGTTATTATTTACTTACGAAATATTATTTGTTTCCTTCCTTCACTTGTTTATAGGCATAGTTTCACTTGATTTTATTTCATGTTGTTTCATGATAAGATGACTTGTTCATTCTCATATTGTTTATTGTTTATTTACTTACCAAATGTTATTCATTTTCTTACTTCATTTGTTTGTGGCTCTTGAAATGAAACCAAGTGAAAGTGGACCTATAAACCAATGAAATAAGGAAACAAACAACACTTCATAAGTAAATGAATAATATACAGTATGAGAACAAATAAGTTGTCTATGTTGTTCATTTAAATGAGAGCAATTTTGTCATTTCTGTTACAAATTCAATAAAAATTCTATATGGGTCCTTCAATGAAGTTTCAAAAAATTTGGGGTTCTTTTTTTATTAAGTTTGGTCAAGGGTCTTGACTGAAATTTTCCTTATTTTTTATGGCAAGTTTTGATCTCTCATCTACTGTTTGTGAGGAGAGCCTTGCTACAAGCCCCATTATCTCTCATTAAATTTTTTTTAATTTGTTTTAGTTGTCTTAATTATGGGATATGGATGTATGAATGTTTGAGGGAAAAGTTTGCTTTTTTGACTATTTGATTTTTTAGCTTAGAATATATACTTGTTTTAGATATTGCTTGTGTTAGGAGTTATAGAAAAAAGTTTGAATGTATCACAAGCAAGAATACACCTTAAAGTCCGTGCCAAAAGGTGAAAAAAACATATGAACCTCAAACCAAAGTCTGCTATAGTAAGAAAGGCATCTAAAACTTATTTTGACAATTTGAAAAGGCAATTTTGAACCTTAGCATGCAAGGTTATACTTTTCATGACTTTGACTAGAGAGTGGCTCATTAAATACTGATCAAGCAATGTTGCAAAGGAGAATGTACCTCATCCTCATTTTTTATTTACTAGGAATGTAAAAGTAACTAGAATTAATATTTAGACAACTCACTTATACTATTATTATAGTTTGTCCTGAGGTTATTCGTAATCTCAAATGCTAATATTATAGGTTACATAATGATTAAGTATGAATTAATAAATGCTAAAAAGGTAGATTCATTCATAGAGGGCCTTCACAATGATGAGGAAAAAGCAAGCCTCTTAAACGAGTTAGGAATAATTTTGAGTTTGACAGGCATGGAGATATTTTTGTGCATGTTACTCTTCACAGTTGTTTTCTGTTCAATAATCCAAATTCTCTTTTGCTCTTCACAAGTCTAATATTTATAATTTGTTGCATGTTGGCACATATGGTGAGAAAAGAGTTCTTAGCTATCCTCTAAAAATAATTGCCAAGAATGTTGTTAAGCAAAAAATTAGGCCTTTCACCATAGCATGCTAAGCTACTAATATTAGGCCTCAGTCTAACTTCTGCCACTAGCTAGCTTTCATCTGACATGCTACTTCTGTAAGGAAGGAAAAAATAGGTTGTCCATCTCACAAGCAAGTGTCAACCTCAAACAAGATGAGCAAAAGTTGAAGGCTATGGAGGTGATGGGAGAAGAGGGGAGGGAGGGGGAGAAGGAGGAGGAGGAGGAGGAGGAGGAGGAGGGAGGGGGAGGGGAGGGGGGATACCCCCAACTTGGGGGAGAGGTTTTGAAAGGGAGGGGAGAGAAAATTTTTCTGGTCCAACTAAATGCTACCAAGAAGACAACTCCAAAACCCAAACCTCAAGACCATAAACTTGTTCGTGACCTCCCTCTTTTCAAGCTACCTAACATACTTTCTTTTTACTTTTTGAACTTCGCAATTAATGATATACTGTATAGTTCCTTTAGACTACAAAGAGTCTATAGCGGCTTCAAATCCTTTGGATTGATCACATTGACCAACCTATAACAGTATGAAGTGCTATGTAAACCCTTTTTTGTTTTTTTGGGGGTATTTTAACTTGCATAAATTGGTGTAATTTGCTGGTAGCACCTATTGTCCATTAAATTATCCGTGCGTTCCGACTTATGGATGAAGTGATATTTAGTTTTTTTAGAGTGACGAATGGAAGCTAGAATGATGCAGAGTATCAAGCTCAAAATGTTCAATGGTACATTTAGTGCAAGAATGTGCAATAACAGTTCTTTTAGACTTGTCAAAGAATGTGCACGATTCACTGTCAAAGGAATTTATTGACATAATGGTGGTGACGTTGTTGCTGGGATAATTTGGAACTCCGAGGATTAGTGGATTTACTGCTTTGAACACGTCTTTACCTCCAGTTATTGCTGAAATTAATGCTGAGGTTGGGGTGCCAAGCTTGCTGCAACAAGGGTTCGCATAAAGTTGGAGTTGCTGTGCAAAATGCCCTCTGTTGTAACCTCCTCGTCCATGACAATTCGATTATTCACCCATTTTTTGAGATTATTGATGGTACTAGGTTGTTGCTATCTAGGATTGTTGGGAATATCTACCTTTCTTATGATTGTGTAGACGATAATTAGCATTTATGTAATCTTATTAGACTAGGATTTAGTATCATGTAATTAAACTCCATGATTTCATTTTGCCTTTTATTCAAGGATGAATGAATCTTTTTTTTTTTTGGCCAACAGGATGGATGAATGAAGCACGAATTGCCTTATTTTATTTCATGTTGCATTTTTTTTAGTTTTTTATTTTCACGTTCTCCTTCCATTTGCTATGTTTAAGAACTACTATTGATTTTGAGAGTGATTGTTCTTTAGGATTTGCGTTCAGTTCAATTCTTTTATTTTACAATGGCAAAATGGTTGAGGGTTAATTATATGTTGGCATGGTAATTTTTGTTTGACATGCGTTTTTAGATATGGCACTTTTTTTTTTAATAATATATTGTTAAAATGTTAAAATTTTGGAGGAAAGGAGATGTTTTTCCTGTAAGAGACAGACACTTTTGTGTAATCGCGTGCATATAATCCTTTATATTACGGAGGTAGAATTTCAATCGAAAATGTTATGGGACTTTCAGGATGCTGAGCATGGAAAGAAATCTGCTGGTTTTTGCTTTTATTAAGGACTCGTGATTTGCTCATTTTGATGGATTTGAAGACAGATTTTGGTGACCTCCCGTGTTAAGTTTTGGTGATATTGATAAATTACTTATTATAGATAGCATCATAGTTTGCAAAGTTTGTTTTGCTAAAGTTTTCTTTGATCAATGCTTTAAGAAGTTTGAGTTTGAGAGGAGAATTTTCTTGAAGTTTTATGAGAGGATTAACTTCGTTGCTTTCGTTTTTCTATGGAAGTTTAAGATTTTTTTTCTTTGAATGATTTATATTAATTTTTTGCACGAAACATATATTTGCGACGATGTTAAGCTTAATGTATTTTACTAAAAGTGGCTTTGACATTTTTTGCTTAAAAATTCTTGTTTTTTTTTTTTTTTTGCATTTGTGACAATCTTTTTTGACTTTTGTCATCTACATAAGTAGAATGCGCACCCTAAATCAAAGAAGGCCTTGCAAATTTTACATGGCAGTCCAATCCATTTGACATAAGTAGTCACAGGTTTTTTTTTTTTTTTAGCAATGTTTGGTGATTAGATAAGTTATTGTTATTTGAGTAATGTTTTATGATTAGATAAGTTAGTTTTGCGTTAATTTGTTTGTAATATTATTTTTTATTAATAATTTATTTTCTTAATGACCCTTTCTCTTTATATTTAAAGTTATTTTTATTTTATTTTCTTTGCATTCATCAAGCATTGTAAGTGCAATATGATTTAGATATCTATGATCATGGTTATTTTACCTTTTTTTTTAACATTCACTACTATAAAAAATTTTTACCAGAACATACATATCAGAGCGTTTAAAACAAAAAATGCTCCAAATATAAAGTTCAAAACATACTGGAGCATTTGAAAAACCAAACGCTCTGGTAAGCTTATACTTACAGGAGCTTTTTAGGCTATAAAATGCTCCCGCATGTTAATTTTATCATATAGGAACATTTTTATTTAAAAAAGCTCCTATAAGGTTTTTAAAATTTTACACAAAACATTAAGAATTTTAAATACTTAAAAAATATAAATTATTATTTTGCAAAAGTAGTTTTATTATATAATTTATTTTCTCAAAAAATAAATTATTTTTATAAAATTGAAATTATTACAAAATAAATAATAATAATTATAACATTTAAATTAATTTTAAATTATTTGTAAAACAAAATATCCGAAACATTTTATAAGAAAAGAAGCTCTTGCACACTACTTTTTTATTTTTGTTTGGGCTAAATATGAAACGTTGCTCAAATAGGTCATGAAACTAGTTGGGCTGAATAATTGAAACATCGGGCCCAATATAAACAAAAGAGGCCAGCCCCGAAACTCAAGAAAATCCACAACACATAAACATGCCAAAATTCCATTAGTTTCAAATATCAGATCGTTGGCACAAAGACACGGTCCTAAGTGATGCTGAAATCTATGCCCAAGTAGTTCGGTGAAACGGGCTATTGATCAAAATAGAAAGATTGTGCCATAAGTTAATAACGATTGTTGAATCTTTGGTAGAACATGCTAAGTGTAACACTTTCTCCGAGTGTTATCCAAAAATCATACAATTCAAATAAACTAAGTGTGGTTAAAGAGTTAATCTTAAAACCAACTTAGGAAATAAACCATTTAAATCACTAAGCAAATACACAATTGCAAAGTAAACATTTAAAACCTTAAAAGAATTATAGGTTCTACTTATAGCGCACGGAAGCAAGCTAGACAAAAGTGGAATAAAAAGATGCTGTCATGGCAGCATTTTTTAATGCTGTAATGACAGCCCTCCCGGGCCAACTTTCGGGAGACACTGTTCCGCCATTCAATCTTCAATTGAAGTGATTTTAAACCTCACACGTCACATTCAAAAGATACTATAAGTGTATCAAATTTTAAAAAGATCCAACGGTCAAATTAAAAATTAGACATGTTAAAAGATTGGTCATCTTTGCTGTCATGATAGCAGCCCACATGTTACTTTTAAATAGTACTATTAGCATACCAAATTTTGAAAAGATCCAACAGACGGATTGAATTTCATGCATATTACAACATCAACAAATATTGCTATCATGGTAGCACTTTTGCTGTCATGACAACTCCTTCGGACCAAATTCTGAAGCGTGCTGTTTCTCCGTTCGGTATCCGATTAATGTGATTTCAAAGCCCATACGAAGCTTATAAAAGGTTTTACTTGTGACCTAAATTTTAAAGAAATCCAACGGTCAGATTAAAATTTGGACACCGGATGTAAAAGTGTGGTTTTTTTGATAAAAATTATTTTCAAAATTGTCCAAATCTCATCCTAATGGTCACAAACTTGTGAAAACACTTTGGACACGTCAAATAGGACTAAAAACACCTGATAGAATATTTACATGATAGAAAAACTTTTTATACCAAAATTTAACCACCCGGGTGCCATTTCCCAAAATGGATCATAAACCCCCAAAATGCACAAATTACACAAGAGTGGCCAAAAATTATTTCAAATATCATATACACATATAAATACACACGCTAAACATTTTCACTTGGCTCAGAGATCTTTGTGGGGCCCACGTATCCACTCTCTCTATCTAAGGTGTATGTTTGCCCATAGCACACCATTTGTAATGTAACCACTTTGTATTTATTTGTGGAATCACATATATATTAAAATAAATATTTACTTGTAGTGAAAACTTGATCTACTAAATAAATTCATCGAAACCACACACCGTAGCCCAAGTTTCCTAGCCACAAGTCTATAAGCAAACAAAAATTCATACATAAGCCATACAATCCAAACATACTCACACACATAAACATAATCACATCCTACTGTCACCCTAATCCTAAATACATTACAATAGACTTGCTCAAAAGAAATGGATTACAATTCTTTACAATTCACAAACAACCCCTAGTTATGCTCCTTTCCCCATCCTCCACTGGTTCCTTCGCTTGGACCTGAAAATATTAAAAAGAAAGAAGTGAGACAACCACAGTCTCAGTAACATAAAAATCAGTAACATAAAAATCTATATTGATTATTACAAAGCAAGCAATAATTGAATAAACAAATAATAAATTTAACATAGTATATAATTTAGCCATTTAAAATGCATGAATGCATGACCTAGGCTGGTATGGCCTTTCATGACTAACAGAATACCCCCTGACACTCTTTAACTCGCAAGTAAACCTTATACCTACTTGTACCTCCACAGGCACAAAAGATAATATAAGGCATGATCTAATCCACTGAACCGCCTATACCCCTTCGACGTGAATCCTGAGTAATCAAAACTAACTCCCTTTCAGAGTCAGCCCGATTTACTCTCCATGTGAGGGTTACCTTGGCCTAAGCACTCAATCTCACACTTCATATGTCGAATTCCCTCCCCCACTGAGAGATGTCGAACACTCAATACACTAACCACTTTAGTGCATTGAGCCCACAATACGTGAGGCAACACTGAGTACTGGCAGTGTGCCATAGAATATCAAAAATCCACACCTTCTCATTGGTGAACTCCCACAGAGATCATGCCTTTTATTCGTGTCTACCTTTCCCAAGTATTGACCACTTCAACACTTTAAGGTAGTATAACATTTATAAATCTCCTTTAAACGGTTCCTTAGCCTATCTAAGGTACCTTACTTAGTTACACTTCCTTAAGTACAACTTCTATTGTTTATGATTACAATGCATGCAAACAAATTTCATTTTCATAAAAACATTGTTGTTAAATAATTAGAAAATATATTTGCACTATAATCAAAGTAGTACCCCATAACCCTTTATAAAGCACATTTAATCTTTTAAAACATGTAATGCATGATAGTTAGTAATATTTATTCAAAAAATAACTAAAACAAAGTAATAAAAAATATAAATTCCTGTTACCTCAACCTTTTGGTACCAAAAGGGTTTCTTTTATACAAAATAGGACTCAACTTATTTCTTAACTTCTGAACAAATTTCACCAACGATTCCTACAGTATATAAGTAATCCACATCACTTATCATGACAAATAACATTAATGAAGACTATAACTCATACCACACAACTTGAGTCAATGAGTCATAATCCATCCTAATGGTTCATATATTAAACCAACCATTCACATAATATTACTTAACCTACCAAAACCATTTATTAGCCATCACTAGGCTAATTTCTAATTTATATAATTTTTAATTAATTAAAAACCTTCACTTAGTGTCACTAACTTTCACCATTAGCCCTTATAATGAAAACCAAACTTTAATTTAAATCTTATTGGGCTCAAATAGAAAAATTATAACTAAATTAATAGACATAAACCATTAAGGAGCAAAACCCAATCTCTCAGGGTTTAATTTGTGTCCAAAACACCTCTTTTCATCCAATTATTCACTCAAAACATTATATCACTATATAGAAACTTAAAACATCCTCCCTAGAATTCAAAGAAATAAAAGCTTACAAGAATAAAGCCTTTAAGATCAAAATCTAGAAATTTTCTCTTTCGAAAATTGAAGAAAATCAAGAGGAATGGAAGAGGATTGAAGTAGGGAGTTTACCTATCGTGTAGCCGAGCTCGCAACGGTCGCAAAACCTCCTAAATTCAAACCTAACTCCCTCTCTTTCTCTTCTCTTCTTCCTCTCTCCCTCTCGTGTGTTTTGTTCTTTCCTTTCTAATTTAGTTTTTGCGTTCTGTTTCTGTTTAAAAAAGCTAATATAAGACTTTAGGGAAAATTACAAGAAAAGGCCCAACATTTTTTATTATAGCACAAAAGCTCGAGTCAACTTTGGTAATTTTTTTCATAGTTAAAAATAAAATAAAACCCAACTTTTGCTTAGTAAAATTCAAACTCTAGACCTCTATCAAATTATTATTAATTTTAATTTAATTATAGATATTTTATTTTATTTTTTAAAATAAATCCGAGTCTTAAAATTTTTGGCATGTTACACTAAGTCCCAAAGAAAAGGCTTCTGCTATCAGACACTATAAATAGGAAGAAGAAAAAACAGAGAAGGCAGTCAACACTCGATCAAGACTCGCGTAATTTACATTTACTAGTCCTTTTCAGTTCTTAGTTTGTAGTTTGTAATTTTCAAACACTTCAATAAAATTACACACTTGTTCTACCAAAGCCTACTATCTTTTTACATCCAAGCAAACTATGGTAAGGGAACTCAGGGCCCTTTCGTTATCTATTGAGACCCAGCGTCTCTGGCACACCTAGTATTTATTGTTCAACCATGAACAATTTGTGGCACTCCCAGTAGGACTTGTGTAACAAAGATGGCAAGGATGAGAAAAGATAAAAGGACTGATGAAATAAGTGCTAGTTCTCACAAACCAGAAGGGATCTTTGCGCATGCAGGATCAGAATACTTAATGCCCAATGCTAGAGCAGCTGATCATCGTGAGCATGTAGTGCTAGTGATAACAGATAGTAGCAGCACGAGCCCTGGCACCAAGTCAGGAAGTGGCCAACCCAACCTACTGATCATATCTAACAGACCTACGGCAAAAGTGTTGTGGCGAATTCAAGACCGGATGGATAAGTAACTGGAAGAGAAATAGAAGTTTTTTGCAATATCCCTAGAAACATCAAAACGCAGGGAGAAGGAACGATAGCAGATCATGATGTAGGTTATGCATGAAGGCATGAAGAATATAGCCGCATCATTGAAAAGCACCCATCAAGAAGCAGGCTCGAACATAAGGCCGCTCGGGAGGCAGCAAGCTGGAGACAATATAGGTACTGGCCATCAAGGTCGCATACTTGTAAGAGACATCCATAACCACCAAGTATTAGCACACACTCATCCGTTAATTAACCCTTTGTATTATCTATAAGATCCTGGCACGAGTGGCACAGGGGGCACGGTGGTAATGTCGAAATGTGCAGTCGAGCCTCAGAACCAACTAGTGAACATAGAGGCTCTAAGGATGCCATTCAAGATATATATGGACTAGGGCTGAGGCCAATCGGCCGCCCCACCTTCTCAAGACCTTATTCGGAGTATATAGACAGGGACAACCCATACCCTCGGGGATATAGGATCCCTGACTTCACATTGTTCTTAGGAGACAGTACACAGTCAACCCTGGAGCACATTGGGAGATCCAAAATCCAGTACAGCGAAATTACTAATTATGAAAACTTCGCTAACTTAAAGCTGAGGTTGTTTCCAAATACTCTCACAGGCTCGGCGTTCACATAGTATATGTCGCTACCTTGTAACTCAATCATCAGCTGGATAGAGATGGAGCAGAAGTTCCACATCCAATTCTATAAATCAGAGCTAGAAGTCAATATAGCGGAACTCTGCAGCTCACACAACGAGCTAGAGAGACAGCAGACTAATACTTGGTTAGGTTCAAACGTCTAAGGAGTAGGTGCCACGTGCCGCTTCCAGAAACCGAATTTGTCAAGCTGGCACAAGCAGGATTGGATATAGAGCTCCGAAAGAAATTTTAGGGGATGGAATTTCGAGATTTCTATGAACTTGCGACCACAGTGTGGGGTTATGAGGAACTACTCAAGGAAGAGGATCATCACTGACGGACTACAATTGGGACCTACTTTGGGGACCTAGACGTAATGGTGGCAGAACTGAAGAATGCTGGTAACTACACATGCCTGACTCTAATTAAGAAGGTTGGAGAACTGTCCAAAAGACCAAACGCAGTCCAGTACACCTTTGATATCACGAAAATAGAGAAAATTTTTAATTTCCTCCTCAAGGAAAACTTCATCTCCTTGCCCCTAAATCATAAGATTCCCTCAAAGGAAGAACAGAGAGGGAAGGAATACTACAAGTATCATCACTCATGGAGTCATAGTACAAAGCATGTTGGGGATTCAAGAATGTCATCCAGGACTAGATCAATAAGAGAGTTCTGAAATTCCCTAAGAAAGAATCCATGGTGGTAGACGACGACCAGTTTCCCCCATTTGCTACGGTCAACATGGTAGAGATAACCTCTAACAAATGATGGCTCAAGAAGGGTGATGGTAAACAAAAGGATGGAAGACCTTAGAACGTCTGGAATAAGGGTAAAGTAACTCAAAAAGATGCTAAGACAGTATGAAACTGCTTGAGGAAGCCTACAGGCTGGTCTAATAAGAACAGGTCTTCTAAATGGGATATAAGCCCGGAGAGGCAGAATATGAAAAGCCCGGATGGCTCCAAAGTAGTTTGGGACTGTTTAGGGGAAACTCAGAATGGACACAGTCAGTAGGAAAAGAAGGAAAATAGCAAACGACCCTCAGGATAGGATGTTGGCCCAGGAGGATTAGTGATGACAGAACCAGATGGATCTAAGGTGGTCTAGGATTGTTTAAGAGAACCATCTGGCAAATTTAACTTCTTTGTAAAGTACTCAACACCCCCTGGGTCAAATGAACTATTCGTGGGGACACCAATGAGTTGGGATATAGGCCCCGACGATTTACCATTACTATCGTCAATGCTTTCAGAAAATAGCACAAAGCTTCCTTCAAAAGCAAAAGCCACTTAGGGCTCAGGAAGGTTCGTTATGCTGCCTGGCAACGTTCCACTTCTGAAATGGAGAGTTGTGAGGCACAAAATTCTCAACTGCCTTAACAAGAACCCAGAAGTGACATCTTTAATGAAAACGGGCTACATAAAGGTACCTTGAACAGTAAAAAACCAAGATACAGGATAGCCCCAACATTCAACAAGAGGCTAGTAAGTTCAAAAGAAAGTCCACCAAGGATCAGGATGAAGAAAGCGAGGCCGAAAATCAAAAAAAGAGGACCATTCACGTTGGAGAAATACCACTTAACCTCTGCTGCGTGGTCTCGTTAACACTACCTTCTCAATTCCGGTCCACCATTGGCAATACCCAAGACCTGCAGGAGCAGAACTCCTTGAGGCCAACACAACGGGCCTATATCAGTATTGCCCTATGGAGCCAAGAGAATAGGAGGAGTATGAGCCTTAAGCATACAAGCTTAGAAAGAAAAAATTGTGGAGCCTGTCTGTCAAATTACTTTGCAAGCAATAGAAGGGAAACTAAAGCAAGCTGTCCTGGAGAAACCCAGCATGAAGATGACTCAACACCTGAAACCCTTGTACATCAAGGCACATTTCGATGGGAGACTAATGACTAGGGTCCTCGTTGGTAATGGATCAGTGGTGAACATTCTGCCACCTCGCATGATGATCAAGATGGGGCAAGAAAAGCATGACCTAATGCAAACTAAGGTATCAGTGGTAGGGTTCACTGGGACTGCATCTAAAGTCCTCAGTATATTGCCATTACAGGTTGATGTCGGGACCAAGTCGTCACCAACGGCCTTTTTCGTGATCAGCACTATAGCTTAATACCAGGCTCTCCTGGGACGGGATTGGATTCATGCCAATGAATGTGTATCCTCTTCATTATACCAGATGCTCCTGATGTGGAAAGGAGAGGAGGTATAAGTGGTCTGGGCTAAAGACAAGCCATTCACAACAGCTACTAACTTCATGGATGCGAGGTATTACAATACTGACGTGGGCCCATTCACATTCCAAAACACTCAAGGAATCCTTTCATGCAGAACAACACCAGACGCTATAGTGCCTCTAATCTCACAGACGTGTGAGCCCATCATAACTGGTCGATGACTAAAGCAAATGAAGAAAAGGCCGTAGCAGCCGCGGCCATCCAAAAGTTATGGTTGCACAATCTACAAGAGAAACTAGAAGACTACGGACCCGAGGTCTATGGGATTGAAGTTGTATATGAAGATGAGACTTAGAAGATAGCACAACTACACGAGTTAGACCCTACACTTCTGAAATTCAAAGATATAGCCCTAGAGGTCTAGGATCCACTAGAAGTAAACCTCGGATCCCAGAAGAGTCGAGGATCACATTTATTAGCTCACTACTAAATAAAGAACAGAAGGTTGCCATCAAGCTAACACTGCTGGAATTCAAGGACTACTTTGCATGGGATTATGATGAAATGCCAAGCCTAGCTAGGCAGCTGGTCGAACATAGGCTTCCTATAAAGCCAAACTATAGACTGTACCAACAGCCCGCCCGAAGAATGTCAGTAGAAGTGAAGCTACGAGTAAAGGAGGAGATCAAACGCCTCCTACAAACCGGATTCATACAGCCTTATAGGTATGCTTAGTGGCTATCAAACATAGTCCCAGTAATCAAGAAGAATGGAAAATTGCGATTTTGCGTAGATTTCCAAAACACAAACATGACCACACCTAAAGATGTGTATGCAATGCCTATTGCAGATAGGTTAATAGATGCTGGGGTCAAAAATGCTTTATTGTCATTTATGGATTGCTTCTCTAGATACAATCAAATATTTATCGCAAAAAAAGACGTTCATAAAACCGCTTTCAAGTGTCCGAGCTCCATTGGAACTTTTAAATGGATAGTTCTTTAGGCTAAAAAATGCTGGAGCCACCTATCAGCGGGCTATGAATGCCATCTTTTACGATATGATAGGAAAGAACCTAAAAGTATACATAGATGACATAATGATAAAATCTAAGAAGGCACATGATCATATTAAACATTTAAGGATGAGTTTCCTTCGAACGAGGGAGGTCGGCCTTAACTTAAATCCACTGAAGTATGCTTTTGGTGTAACTGTAGGTAACTTCCTTGGATTCCTAGTCCACAGAAGGGGGATTGAAGTAGACCGGAACAAAGCACGAGCTATCTTA